ATCCAGATGGTACCTTGATGCTTGCTAGGCATTTAAACATGCTTTCCTTCTCTTCTTTGCTAAGAGTGTAGCTGGCAGGACTTAAGTAATGACGTCCATCATCTGTCTTCTCTGGATGCAGGTTGTCTCGTTCTTTCAAACACCGTAGGTCCTGTCGTGCTTCAAGTGTGTCCTTAGGCTTTCCATACACACCCATGAAGCCTAACAGGTTCACACAAAGATTCTTCGTCAGGTGCATCACGTCGATCGCGCTATGGACCTCTAAGACTTGCCAATAGGGTAGCTCCCAAAATATGAACTTCTTCTTCCATATGGGTGTGTGACCGTCGGTGTCGTTCGGAACAGGTTTGCTGCCATATGCCTTTACAAATACTACTTTCACATTCTTGACCATATTGAGTACATCCTCACCAGTTCGGTTGCCCGGCTTGGTCTGGTGGTCTGCCTTACCTTTAAAATACTTGCCTTTCTTTCTTAGGGGGTGATTTGCAGGAAGAAATCGACGATGGCCAAGGTACACGACCTTTCGACATTTTTTCAAGAATATACCTTTAATGTCATCAAAACAGTGCGTGCATGCATTATATCCCTTATTTGATTGTTCTGAAAGATTACTTAGAGCAGGCCAATCATTGATTGTTACGAACAACAATGCTCGTAGGTTAAAGTGCTCCCATTTGTGCTCATCTCACACATGTACACCTGGTCTGTTTCACAAAAGTAGAAGTTCTTCAACTAGTGGCTTCAGGTACACATCGATATCGTTGCCAGGTTGCCTTAGGCCTTGGATGAGCACTGGCATCATAATAAACTTACGCTTCATGCATAACCAGGGAGGAAGGTTGTAGATACATAGAGTAACAAGCCAAGTGCTATAACTACTGCTCTGCTCCCCGAAAGGATTCATACCATCCGTACTTAAAGCAAACCTTAAGTTTCTTGCGTCATTTGCAAACTCCGAGAATTCTCTATCGATTGCTCTCCACTGGGACCCATCAGCAGGGTGTCTCAACATATTGTCTACCTTACGGTCTTCTTTGTGCCATCGCAACAACTTTGCATGGTCTTTGTTTCTGAACAGACATTTCAAGCGTGGTATTATAGGAGCATACCACACAATCTTGGCAGGGATTTTCTTCGTGGGACGTTCGCCCTCAACATCACCAGGGTCATCTCGCCTGATCTTATACCGCGATGCATGACATACCGGGCATGCATCTAATTTCTCGTACTCCTCGCCACGGTAGAGGATGCAGTCATTAGGACATGCATGTATCTTCTGGATTTCTAATCCCAAAGGGCAGACTACCTGTTTTGCTTCGTACGTAGTGACGGGCAATTCGTTATCCTTTGGAAGCATCTTCTTTTGGATTTTTAATAACTCCCCAAATCCCTTGTCAGATACACCATTTTTTGTCTTCCATTGCAGTAATTCCAGTGTGGTACCCAACTTTTTTTGCCCCACATCACAAGTTGGGTATAGCAATTTCTTGTGATCCTCTAGCATGCGCTCGAACTTGATCTTCTCCTTTTCACTTTCGCATTCTCTTTGTGCGTCACGAATGGCCTGACCAAGATCATCAACGGGCTCATCTTCTGCCACTACCTCTTCTTTAGCTTCTCCCATTGCAGTATCATTAAAGGCACCATATTCAGCAGTAATGTCATCATCGTCCCATTGTTCTTCTTCACATTCTTCCATTACAACCCCGGTTTCTCCGTGCTTCGTCCAACAAATATAGTTTGACATGAAACCCGACTTCAACAAGTGTGAATGAAGACTCCTTGAGCTAGCATATTCCTTCAAATTCTTACATATGGCACATGAGCAGCACATGAAACCATCACGTTTGTTTGCCTCGGCCACACGTAAGAAAGAATGCATGCCCTCAATGAACTCTTGGGATCGGCGATCAGCATTGTACATCCAATGCCGGCTCATCTGCATTACATGACATACATACCATATTAAAACCTAGAACATAATTAGTTAATTATACGACATGCATGCCACCACACAAGGTATTAATTTATGAAAGTCTCGCTACAATGTAGACAATCCTAACTACCACTAAAAAAACTAAAGCTAAAATGTACTTCAGCAGCATAAGGATTTCGCGACCAATCCCAACTAAAACAGATAGATCATGCGTTTGTTCAATATCTATGGGCTTCTTCCGCAGGATCACTGCCTCATCAGCCGCCGTAGCCGCCTGTGTAAGAGAGTTTTGCACGTGTTCAACATACTATTCCTTCCAGTACCAGCCTGAACATCCAGTGCCATCCCATTGAAAATTAAAACAAAAAATTAGAACTTTAATCACAATCATCATGAAAATAAGTATAAATTAACCATAATCATCAAATGCGACAAAATAACTCACATTGCGATCTAGACACTTGTAGAAGATACGGCCCTTGTTGGGACACTCATTCCTCACCTAATACTCCATCACAATCTTCTCCTCACACTTGCCGCATGTAATGAGAGGGAGGTCCGGCCTCAGTCGCTTTGGAACCCGATGAGAGGCCGAGGACCCGAAAGCAGTTGCCATCTACTCTCTATACTCATTTTTAATATAATATAAATTTCTCATTTTATAAACAAATAAAATTAAAAAAACTCTAAAATTCTCTATATCTCTAAACCATGAAGTGTGCTATGCATGCTAGAAATGAAAGCTGAATACTAGTTTTGAATAACTACTTTAACCTTCCTTCATCCAAATATGCAAATTTTAAAGTGATTTTGAGCTTAAATAGCTTACAAATAAAAAAATCCACCATATAAACCACATATATCTAGTCCACAAAATGAGATATGCTATTGATAAAACATGAGAGTATAAAGTTGGTAACCTTTAGAACCGAAGAATCGATGGAGGAATCGAAGAAATCTTGTGATTACCGACGATGAGGAAGAAGAGAGGCCGGCGATGAAGCAAGAACACTGAGCTCGAAGTGGCTCGGACTCAGGGAGGAAGAAGGGCTATATAGGAGGGGACCTTTAGTCCCGGTTGGAGACAGAAACCGGGACTAAATGTCCCTTTCTAGTCCCGGACGGAGCCTCTAGCCGGGAGTAGACTTTTACTCCCGGTTGGAGGGACCAACCGGGAGTAAAAGTTAACCTTTAGTCCCGGTTGGTAGCTCCAATCGGGACTAAAGGTCCCCTACAGCAAAAGCCTGCCGTAGTAGCCGTTGGGCAGGGACCTTTAGTCCCGGTTGGAGCTATAAACCGAGAGTAAAGGTCTCTCTAGTCCCGGGCGCGAAAAATACCATGACTAAAGCCAAATTTCGAGTTGGATCAAAGATCGTTTCTCTACAAGTGGAACACTAATTAAACCCAACACTTACCTGGCTGTTCTGGGGAAGGGTGAGGAAATACGGCTACTTTCCCGCGGGAAAAACGGCTACGTTGACGTCTACTCCCTTGTGTCTACTCCCTGACGAGGCTTCGTTTCAGGAGTTCCACACAGCCTTCAAGTTGCCGCTATCGTCGTCAATACGGGAGGTCATGCAAGTTCTATTTCCAGGCAGGAAATAGTGGGCCTCTTGGGCTGTTCGCACCGCCTAGGTGTTACCCTTATTAGGTCATAATATTTGGTCGCAAAATTACATCCCAATGTAATATCGAAAAGGAATTGGTTCGTTAGGTCAATCGCAGGCCGTGATGTTGGCTTCTCGCCGGCATCGTCTGCTATCTCTGTAACGGATTAAAACTTCTTCCTCTTAATTAAAAACAGGTCTAACCCGATCGTGAAAAAATCTTAGATTTGTCCAATTACATGTAAAAAATATATAGATAGTTATGACATCAAACAAGCACCATTAGATTTGTCATGAGATCTATTCATAATAAATTTATTTGGCCTCAAAAACATTAATAGTTTTACCTATATATTTAGTCAAACTTTGGACACGGAAACAAAAAATGCACCTAAAATTGCATTTTTTCGGGACAGAGGTAGAATATGAAAATATTAATATTTATAGTGCATAATTACTATTATTAGATGAATCATTGAATATATTTTTATAATAAATTTATTCAGAGATAAAATAAGCTAATGTTTTCTATAAATTTAGTCAAATTTAAGAAATTTTGACCGGTACAAACTTAAAAAGAATATGTTTGAGACGGAGAGAGAGTACATCATGCAGAGGACACGTCTTCTCTTTCTTGAAAAAAAACATACTCCGTATTTGAGTACAAAAGTCTACTAGAAGATGGAAACCTAGGTAATTCAGCCGACTAGGAGTCAATTTCTTGCGGCGATACTGATTTTCAAGCGGACCGCCATCCCCACGTGAGGTATAATTTTCCTCCAATCGCTCATCAAGTCAAGGTCCTCCATTCACACGGCGACGCGAATTCACCGAGCAGGAGCAGCAGTGGCAAAGTACGATCGCACTCGCAGCGGTTGCAGTCTGGAGCCACCCCGGACCAGGATGTACTAGGGGCTGACTCATGGGCCCACTTGGAATTGTCAAAAGGGGCGGCGCCCTATCCAAAATTTCCAAACTGCCACCTCTACTTCTTCTCTAGTTTGCCAAAAGGAACCACGGCACGGGAGGGATCAAAAGAGTTTGGAATGGATATATAAGCAATTTTTTCTTTGAAAAGTCACCGTGTCCCGGGCATGCTGCCTTTGGACGGGCTGGGAGTCTCGGAAATCAGGCCTGTGGGCCGTGCATGGAGCCGTCGTTGACTAGCCTAGTAGCCAGCCACGGCAAGGCCCGCGAGCCGGACTCCGGTGGGGCCGGGGACGACTCACAGAGCTGACGTGGCCGCATCCGGCCGGTCGGATCGGTTTGAAATTTCCCCGAGGAGCCGGGCTTCCCTCTCTATATAAGTATATATACGTACCAGAGGCTGGGCGTCTTCTACCCATCTCCCTCTGCTCCGGCCTCACCGTTTCACTGGGTGAGGTTGTCTTGTGCGGATACGAACACCTGCTGCCTGCAGTGCTGCTCCGACTTCTATTCATCAGGGAGCCAAGATGCCGGCCGGAGGGTTCTCGGTGTCGGCGCCGTCCGGCGTCGAGTTCGAGGCCAAGATCACGCCGATTGTCATCATCTCCTGCATCATGGCGGCCACCGGCGGTTTGATGTTCGGCTACGACGTCGGCATCTCAGGTAACGCCGCCGGCGAGCTTCTCATTTCATCCATCTTTTTTTGATCTTTTCCGTTCCATGCATGTGTCTGTACTCTGTAGTCTGTACCTATCGACTCTCGTGTGCTGGCTCCAGAGAATCATGCGAAATTCTTCTTCATCACCAGAGGACGGATTTACATACGTATTTGCATGGATAGGGTACTGTATGCATGGATCATTGTTGTGTGAGCTTGTTCGTCTTCTTCGTTCTGACACAAGCGGATAAGCACAGACTTCAAACCAAATTAATACGGGGTTTTATTGTGGCCATTAAACACGTCCCATTAATTAACGGCAGACTCGAAGATTTTCCAGATTTGCTTCACCTTCCGATATCCATTCTGAATATTTTCCTTTTTTTAAAAAAAGAGTTATTTTCCTTTATTGATTATTGTTCCCAAAAATAAAAATAAAACAAGCGGGGATACCCATCACTCCATCACTATTAGTTTGTACAAATATCGTGCTGTGTGAGCTAGCCACCTGCTTTGACAGACTGGTAATGAGTCAACGCATGTGAAGAGAAATGCAGCACGTCTGATGAGACACATAGCTTTCTTTCGAAATTAAATTTGTGTGGTATTTTTAATTTGTTGAGCGTCGATAAATAGTTACCCAAAAAAGAACCCACCACTCATGCGTGGAAGTTGGAGCAGTGGCTTACAACAATTTCCTTTCTTGTTTTCAAGATACTGCAAACACAAATTCTTGGTTTCTTATTCTCACGCAACACAAAGGTTTCTGTTGGAAACTTGAAGCCGTTTTTAGTACTAGATGTTCAAACCCGATGAGATTATTTCGTGCAACTGATGGTTCATATTATATGTTGTATATTCACAACAGCAGATGCCTCCAATAAGTTGTATGCACATGCACAGATTAAACAGGAACACAAGAATAATATTGTATATACTATTTATCTTCATGATTACGAAACTAGGAGTAGTTGTGTTACAAAGGTCAAATTAATTAAACGGTGGTACTAGATGCAGTATGATGCAAAGCATCCACCTCAGTGAAACAAAAACGTACGTACTTGTATACTCGCTTCCTTTTCACGAGTAAGTTAGCATGCATTTTTTTATGTATCCTACTACATACACAAAGAAAAAAATGTTGCCACAACTTTAGTCAACCACTTGAACCAACGCTTTCATAGCACGTTTTCACTGGCCATGAATATTGCACTTAAATGCCATGAGCCATCACTAAGCATCTTGGAAAATAAAAAATTTGTTTTCTCTGTGTACGTGTACCACACCTTTTATTCAGACCAATTTGTAAAAAGAAACGATACAATCGCTCTAGTGTTATATATTTTAAATAAATAAAAAGACGTGAGAAATAAAATGTCACGAACAATAATAGGCGGGGTGACGTCGATGGACGACTTCCTGGGCAAGTTCTTCCCGGCGGTGCTGCGGAAGAAGCAGGAGGACAAGGAGAGCAACTACTGCAAGTACGACAACCAGGGCCTGCAGCTGTTCACGTCGTCGCTCTACCTCGCCGGGCTGACGGCCACCTTCTTCGCCTCCTACACCACGCGCCGCCTCGGCCGGCGCCTCACCATGCTCGTCGCCGGGGTCTTCTTCCTCGTGGGGGTCATCTTCAACGGCGCCGCCCAGGACCTCGCCATGCTCATCGTCGGCAGGATCCTGCTCGGCTGCGGCGTCGGCTTCGCCAACCAGGTACGTACCACAACTTGCTAGTGTGATGCGATCGATGGAGTACGTAGGCCACTCGTTTAGTGTAAAAAAGTATTGGCAGCAACGTATTTCGCGTCAAACCAGTGGCCGAGTCGAGGATTTCTTGTTTTTTTTTATAGCACGCGCGCGGGGGCATTTGTTTTTCTACATCCGCGACAAGGACGTGGGTGTATTTTAGTCACCGTCCTTGGTCGATTCAAGCATCTCGGCGATACTCTAGGCGTCTCGCTTAAAATTGTGCACGCCTGGCAAGTTCACTGCACCTGTGCACCCAGCGTATTTTTATACGCGTGATGGCACTTCTAATCGTCTAGCAGCTGTACACTATTATTTTATTTAGGAGTATTAGCATGTATAACGACATGATGGGCCCGCCATACGTATTTCCTGGAATTTTAGGTGAAACAAGTAGAGGTATACTTGAATTGATGGTATACCCAGAACCCAGATGGCTATGCACCCCGATCGCTTGATCATTTCTGTGGCTTATAAGTCGGCTGATGCTGTTTTGTTGTGAGAAAAAAAATACTATATCATGATACAATCAAGCGAACATGGCGCATATGAACGTGGACACCTGGGCATCGGTGACGGTGCCGAGTCTCGTGTAGGACTTGTGTTTACGTTTGGTTGGCAGCAACGGGGTGATAACCCTTCTTTTCAAGTTTCAAGATTCCTCACTGCAGGATCTAGCTAGCAGTTTACCATTGCTAATAAAGAAACTTTGACCAATGACCAGATGATATGTGTGCATTGTGATTGTCGCTGTAGATTGTCGTTTTTTTCTTCTTCTTTTTTTAAAAAAAACTAATGCTTGGCTGGGAGAATTTTGGTTTTTACTGGTAGTGACACAGTGCTATACATAATCGTTTGTTGCTGCTTCTACGTTGCTACCTGCTCGATCTTTAGCTGTCCCAGTTGCCATCAACAGAAACGACGGAGGAATCTGCAACATTAAGCAAGCCATGTTAATTGATTCTAGGACTAGTAGCCATGTTAATAGACCACACGGGCCACGAGCTGCGATGCATGCAGTAACTAGTACCAGTAGTCCAGCAGGCAATTAGGGCATAGCCTTACTGGCCGGTTGCTAGAGACCGTTGTGTCATGTTCGATTTGTTTGGTTTAAAAATACTTTTAGATCAACGAAAAATGATTTTTTCATGCGAACATGCCCTACCTGCAGCCTTACTGGCTGGTTGCTAGAGACCTTGACTTGAACCAGCATACTTTGCTTGGAGTCTTCTGCTCTCGTTCCTGTCAGGCTACTACGTGGTTTGGCTGCGTCTGCAGCCACAACCACCAGATTCCTGAGGTCTTCCGGGGCTCCCGAATCAGCTTTCGTGCGCGGACTAAACATTGGCAGCAAGATGCTTATCGCCTACCGCTGGATTATTGCAAATCATTCATGCGCGTGTTCAGTCCAAGCCAACGTATAGGACATGCACAGCGCAATTACTAAGACAGGGTTCATGTGGTAAGTTTATTCATTCAGCAGCTTTCAGGGAAAACAAATGAGGCCTGCGATCAGCAGACGACGGAGGGGGACAGATATTTGTCCTAGACATGGCATGCTGTTACAGATTAGTATATCTGAATACGGGCGTTTAGGTTTCAACGCTTCAACTGAGGGTCGGAAATATCTGCAGGATGTATGCACGGGTGCACCAACCGCTCTGACACTAGTTTCGGTCGTTTGTACACATCTTCAGGGGATGGGTGATGGTCATGCCATATTTTGAGACCTGTAGACTAGTTTTTTCTTGCACTTTAGACTATTCTTTGAGACTTTAGACTAGAACTGGTGTGCATCTCCATTGATTGAATGATATGTTTGGCTGAACCGCTGAACCCAAGTTGATGGTTATCATTCCCTGTTAGCAAAGAAGAAACAACAGAACAAACGACCAAGTTCGTTAGGGCCCAATTTTTTTTTCTTTTGAAAAATATAAGCCCAATGGGCATCTTCTGAAGACAACTCGGCCCAATGGGAATCGATGAGGCCGCGACTGTTCTTGCTCGGCCGTATCGGTGTGGTACTGGGCCTGGCAAAAACTAGTTGCAGAACTGGACGATAGTCGCGACATTCTTATCACAATTGACGATAACTTTGCCGTGCCATTCGTTCCGTGCAGGCGGTTCCCCTGTTCCTGTCTGAGATCGCGCCGACGAGGATCCGCGGCGGGCTCAACATCCTGTTCCAGCTCAACGTCACCATCGGCATCCTCTTCGCCAACCTCGTCAACTACGGCACCTCCAAGATCCACCCGTGGGGATGGAGGCTGTCGCTGTCGCTGGCGGGCATCCCGGCGGTGCTGCTCACCCTGGGCGCGCTCTTCGTGACGGACACGCCCAACAGCCTCATCGAGCGCGGACGCCTGGAGGAGGGCAAGGCCGTGCTCAAGAAGATCCGGGGCACCGACAACGTGGAGCCGGAGTTCAACGAGATCGTGGAGGCGAGCCGCGTGGCGCAGGAGGTGAAGCACCCGTTCCGCAACCTCCTCCAGCGCCGCAACCGCCCGCAGCTCGTCATCGCCGTCCTCCTCCAGATCTTCCAGCAGTTCACGGGGATCAACGCCATCATGTTCTACGCGCCCGTGCTGTTCAACACGCTGGGGTTCAAGAGCGACGCGTCGCTCTACTCGGCGGTCATCACGGGCGCCGTCAACGTGCTCTCCACGCTCGTGTCCGTCTACTCCGTCGACCGCGTCGGCCGCCGGATGCTGCTGCTGGAGGCCGGCGTGCAGATGTTCCTGTCGCAGGTGGCCATCGCCGTCGTGCTGGGCATCAAGGTCACCGACCACTCCGACAACCTGGGCCACGGCTGGGCCATCGCGGTCGTCGTCATGGTCTGCACCTTCGTCTCCTCCTTCGCCTGGTCGTGGGGGCCCCTGGGCTGGCTCATCCCCAGCGAGACCTTCCCGCTGGAGACGAGGTCGGCGGGGCAGAGCGTCACCGTCTGCGTCAACCTGCTCTTCACCTTCGTCATCGCGCAGGCCTTCCTTTCCATGCTCTGCCACCTCAAGTACGCCATCTTCGTCTTCTTCTCCGCCTGGGTACTCGTCATGTCGCTCTTCGTCCTCTTCTTCCTGCCGGAGACCAAGAACGTGCCCATCGAGGAGATGACCGAAAGGGTGTGGAAGCAGCATTGGTTCTGGAAGCGCTACATGGACGACGACCACCACCACATCGTCAACGGCAAGATCACCGCCAACAATGGCGCCTCCGTTTAACTACTCCATCTGATCTGTTGATGCATCAGACTTCAGACTTGAGGAGAGTATATCCGACCGCCGACAGCGTACTACAGTACTACTACTGCTGAAGGAATTTATGAGCACAGTGTTCACTTATTATATGCGATGCAAAAAGGCAATTGGTAATGCTGCAACCTGCAACTGCAATGGCAATGCCGCCTTGTTGTTCGTTCTACAGGAGCCAAGTGTTTCGGCCAAAGTCCATGCTCATCTTTGATTTGAATCTTACAACTTTCGAGCATAGTTTACACGGATTGTAATCTCATCCATGCCTGATCCTCGAAACCTACATGCGTACTAGTAGTAGAACCTTGTACTAAGCCGATCTTGTGAATGTAACGGTGCCATTCCCCACTCCCCAGTGACCTCTATTTTTCAGCGCAGCTATGAGTCAAGTCCAACACAGAAACCGTTTCTGATACAACACCACACGAAAACTAAACTTTCAGGCATGTTCAGATTGCCCGGTTAGCTAAAAATTGGAGCAGGATACACATGTGAATTTTGTTCGTTAGATGCAGAGGGCCTACACGTTCCTTGCCGCCGTAGAGCATACATCAGCATGCAATGGAATTAATAAGCTCATCGACCAAGGCCGTAACTTTTGCTGCTCTCCCTTTTTCCTTGTTCCATTCTTATAAATATTTGGTGAAAGATTGCGTGAATACATTCGGTTGTTACTTGTTTAAGTGTTTGGGTATCTAATGCTTTTGTTTCCCTCGATCCCTTTCGATGTCTTTGCAAATTGCAGCAAGCTGCCGCTAGCTCTTGGTGTGGTGGCGGTTTCATCTTGCTGCGCGGGCGGGCTCGTGACAGGGAATATGGGAAAGAGGCCGGGAATGTATTGACAAAGCTGGCGGACGAATCACGTTCAAGCAGGGGCCTTTAGACGACCTCTTTTTTCATTTCATGCAGCCATGGAGCCTGAGCTTAGCAAGTTGGTAGCCCTGGAGAGAAACCTGCAGGAATCCAAGACCAACCGTCGATGCTGCTGTGGGCGTCTGCTGTGTTTTGCAAAAGAAGAGAGAACAATAAGGTGCCCAAATGGTAGTCTCCATCATCAAAAAGATAGAGCGAAGCGAGGGCTCATCCAGGGCAACCTGCGGTCATGTGTCTGCAACAGCTCCGCGTAGGAGGAAGGTTTCCACACTTTTTCAAGCTAAGGCCTCAAGCTCTGTAGCTGTGCCTACAACTGTGCTGATAGCAACGCTTAAGGGATACACGGGCAGGCCTGCCTAACAAGTGTATACAGGTGAAGAGTGGAACATAAAAGTAACTTTGTGACATCACAATTGAACTTATCTCCGAGGCCTCTAGCATCTAGCCATAGCTAATGCATAAACTTGTCTGGGGATGCCTACTTTCTCATCTGTGTCAAGAAATCAGCCGGCGGTCTTCCAGTTCCGCTTGCTCCAAATGCTGAGAACCCAGCTCCTTGATTACCACCAAAGGATCCGAATCCACCACCTTCAAACCAACCAAATTATGATAGTTGCCAAAAACAGGCTGTTGGCACCAGACAAAACAGAAAAATTGCCACTGTAAATTTATTCTTTTGGTAGCCCAAACTGCTTATAAGTTGGTAAACACATAAGATCTTAGTGCCAAGTATTTCTGTGGCATCAAAGAACGGTAAGACAATAATTCAGCTCCAAAGCACCAAAGATTGTATTCCCTCGGTTCCAAATGATAAATCGTTTTGGTTTTTCTAGGTACATAGCTATTGCTTTGCACCGAGATAGCAAAAGCTATGTACCTAGAAAAGCTAAAAACGACTTATAATTTGGAAAAGATGGAGTATCTGACATGACAACAATTACTTGCAGACAACAAACCTAATATCTGACTATTTGAGTTAGAGCATGTCTCAGCAGATGGTAATGCAGATTGATCAATAATTAGTACACTTAACATTTAAGACTACAAACTGATTGAAATGGGTTTATGGATTACTGCTTGAAAAAATTGTCTGTGAGACTTAAAATCAATACATAGTATTCCTAAAGCTAAAGATCAAATACTTTACATAGATTTTTTCAGGACAGCCGAAATGAGTAAACCTATTCGGACCTCATCAGTGATAATTGCTGACAAGGGAGAGCACAAAAATTCTTTGTAAGCCTAATCACTACCGGAAACTGGGTGTTTGCCCAGTGCTAAAATATTTGCCGAGTGCATTCTATCGGGCACTCGGTAAAGAAGCTATTTGCTGAGTGCTGTCACAAAAACACTCGGCAAAATAATTGCACTCGGCAAAAGAGGCAACAAACACTCGGCAAAGTTTGGCACTCGGCAAACGAGAAAGAAAACACTCGGCAAAAGATAGGCACTCAGCAAAGATAAGTTTGCCGAGTGCAGACACTCGGCAAAGATAACTTTGCCGAGTGCCGTGATCTGACACTCGGCAAACTTAGCTTTGCCGAGTGTCCTAGATTTGACACTCGGCAAACACGGCATCTTATAAACTCGCGCGGCCGCCGCCCCCTCCCTCCCCTCCCTCTCGGATTCGGCCGGCGGCGGCACCCCTCCCTTCCCTCCCTCCCGGATCCGGCATGGCGCCCCTCCCTCCCGGATCTAGCGGCTGCGGGCGAGGAGGAGCCTGGATCCGGCGGCGCGGGTGCGGCGGCGCTCCTCCTCCGGCCTCAGCTCCCAGCGGTGGCGTTACTCCTCAACGTCTGCGTCAACTCTGGCGGCGGAGGAGACCATATCCGACGTTACGGGCGTCGACTCCGGCGTCACGGCGGTGGGGGAGGCCGGATCCGGCGTCATGGCGGCGGGTGAGGCCGGATCCGGCGTCGGGCGACCGGATCCAGCGGCGGGCGGTCGGATCCCGGCGGTCCGGCGAGGATGCTGTCACCGGCGAGCAGCTACGGCAGGTGTAGTGGTGGTGGTGGCGGCGGCGGCCTGGTGGCGGCGACGGCGGGGCAAGCTGCGGACAGGCGGCGGTGGGTTTTTTTTATATTTTTTGAAATATTTTTTGCCGAGTGTTGGGTTTAGCACTTGGCAACGTCTTTGCCGAGTGCTCGACAAAAAACACTCGGTAAAGATAGCTTTGCCGAGTCTGTGTTTGCCGAGTGCCGTTTGCCGAGTGCAACACTCGGCAAAGGCTTTGCCGAGTGTTTTTTGGCCTTCGCTGTGTGCAGTGGGCACACGGCAAACCTGTGCATTCCCGTAGTGAATGGAGCCTATGCACTATATGCTAGCAGCTTCATTCTAGAAGAAATGGGTAAGCAACCTAGCAGTTCCAACTCCAAAATATCAATAGTTAACGGAACAATAAAATCAATCTAGGTGTATTTAACTGCCAGCAACTAGCAAAACTTAAAACTGATGACCACAGGTTGGAATGTTGGATGATTAATTAAACACGTATGCAAACCATAAGCAATCTGTGCTCACACATTAGCATTTATCCAAAACTTCCCTCCAAAAGTAAGTATTTGTTCAAAACAGAACACGACTTCAGAGATCTCACCACTGCCAAAGCCACCTCCCTGAGTGGCACCTCCAAAACCACCACCAGATGGAGTAGCACCAGCAAAACCGCCACTTTTGGAGGCAAGAGCAGCAAAACCTCCACCAGTAGCAGCAGCAGCAAAACCACCACCTGCAGAAGCAGCGGGTGCTGAAAAGTCCCCACATGATGCAGCACCAGCAAATCCAGCATTACTTGAAGATAAAGAACCAAAACCCCCAGATGTAGAAGCGCTAGCAAATCCACGAAATCCTTCAGAACCTATGCCTCCTAACTGGCGCGATTGTCCAAAGGAACCCAGCACTGATCCAAGTGCCTGTTGAGCACCAAACTGTGCAGGCTGCCCAAATCCTGACTGGACAGCCCCAATTTGTGCAGGCTGCCCAAATCCTGACTGTTGCCCAGATCCAATTTGTGCTGACTGACCAAAACTAGATTGAATTTGTGCAGGCTGACAAAACCAGATTGAATTTGTGCTGTCTGCCCAAATCCTGCCTGCTGACCAGCTCCAATCTGTGCAGGCTTCCCAAATGCTGACTGCTGGCCAGATCCAATTTGTGCAGGTTGTCCAAATCCAGTAAGCCTGCTTGAGAACGAACTAGAAAAAGAACTAGAGCTAGTTGATTGAGATGGCTGGGCTGGCTGAGCTGAAGGAATGCTTAGCGATGCCGGCCGGAAAAGCTGTCCTGGACTGGTTGTCAAAGTAAATGGTGTGCCTGAACTTTTATTGTCAGATGTACCAAAGGAGGCACCAAAAGGATTAGACTTTTGAGGACTTGAAGAAGGCTGGGACCCGAGGCTGAATCCACCAAGGGCTCCCAAGCTGAGTTCGGCACTTGCAGAAGGCGCCTCCTCTTCCATATCGTCTTCATCGGTTGAGATGGTGTCAGTGTTTGGTCCTACATCTTTTCCTGTGGAAGTGACAACTGATTCTGATGCTGTTGGCGCTGTTTTAGGAACATAGACATGAGTAGAAGGCAAGCTGGCGCCAGTTGTTGGAGGCACTGAAGGTTTGCTTTCATTGGTCGATATGACTGAAGTCGAACTTGCAGAAACTATGGTACTAGTTACCTCTGATATTAGTGTTTCAGGTTTGGAAGCATTTTGACTCAAGCCAGTTGACGAATCCTTAGCAAGTGTAGGGATTGAGCTAGACACAGTATCCCCAGATACTGTTGGAGAAACTTTCTGCATTGAGCTAGATAAAACATCCGAAGTTTTCGCACCTGATGAGACTGATGTGGCTGAAGAGGAAACAGTCGGCCTTAAGGAGTATAAATTGGTCTGAGTAACAGGAGCCGGCGAGAATGCAGAAGGTTGAGGTGCCATTTTGGGGGTATCTTTCACAGTGTTCTGTACAGCATCACCAACCCCACTTAGCTGGTCAGTCTTCTCATGTAATACAGCAGGTTTGGAATGTTCAGAAGTAAAAGACGATTTGACAAGATCTCCAAATATGCCACCCTTGTTCTGCAGAGAAGCACTTGGTCCTTTTATGTTCCCCAAAGATGGCATTGACTGACTATCCTGTCTGTTCTTCATAGTTAATGTAGGCAAATCTCCAGACTCCCCAGTAGTTTTCACAGACAGTGGACTCTGAGAAGTTTTTGCAGCTATTATGGAAGGTAATATATTTGGCTCTGTGTGGCCATTACTTTTAGGGGTTATAGTGGTTTTGAAGGTTAGAGTATTTGGCTTAGACACAGTATGTTTTGTTCCAAAGGATGGAACACTGGATGGGTTGATACTATCTTGTGCACCCATACGTGTGTAACTGAATGATGGTGGTGAAGATGGTGTCAATTTTGAAGATTGTGCAGTGTTTTTTATTTGCCCTGGTAACTCAAAATGCTTTTGCTCTGACATTTGAGATGACCCAGTTGATTCCTTTACCCATTTGAAGAAAGGGTTCTGTTGGGGTCCTGACGGTTTTTCTTTTACATCTGAAACTGTCAGAAAATGTTCCAAGTTAAGAATTACAAAGACTGATGATATAATAAGAATCTTTGTGATCTTAATAGAAACCCCAGAAAATTGATGTCTAAGGCTTGTAAAAACTTACCTTCACTCAGAGAACGCAGTCTGCTTACATATGGTTCTACTATAGATGAATTGGAGCTATCGCTTGACTTTTCCTGTGATATTGCTGCCATTTGAGAATCAAATACTTTCTTGTTTGACCTGAATGGTAGATCACTGCTGATCTTGAGGCGTTGTTGCTGTGCTATTCTTTTCACAGTTGTTTTCTGAGGTTCCAAACTAGCCAGGCTCTAAAAAATTGACAAATAATTTGTAGTCAGATTTATTGCTTATCCACCACATGAAGAACAATATGTAATAAAAAACAAAGGCCCACATCTTCTTTCCAAGTCATGTGCATTTTACATGAGAAAATGCAATGTTTTGGGTCTAGGCTCAATAACTTACCATATCCAGTGATTCTCTCCTCCTTCGAGCGGTCTCAGGCTCACCACTCTTGGAAGGCCCTAATATTCCCTTTGAATGCTCATTCACCGATGGAAACCGCTTAATTGGCTTAGGAGTGCTGCCTGAAAATTTGGTTGCATCAGTTGTGTGGGCTAAACCAATTGACTCAAACAACTCTTTGGTCACCGCCCCCTGCTTCCTAGTAGGAGAACCAATATTTAACACAGATATCTGCTTTGAAAGGCATTCAGATAACTGCTCAGCAGCTGCCAACTGCGAGTTCAGTGCATTATATACACTGGATAATTGTGTCTGACTGAAAAAGTAAAAGCGAGAAATAGGTTAAAAATCATCGTATTCATGAAAAGATCCACAAAAGAAAAGGTGAAACAAAACACACAAACTATTGGAATATAGAGAATTGCACTGACAAATAGAACTGCGTACACAACAAACTTAGTTATTATCCAGAAAGAGCATCTAAAAAATAGCAAAGCATACTATATAAGTATATTAGCTTAATCGATATGAGTGATGCTAACCATACAATGTGCAGAGAATTTGAGTTTGTTACAAACAAAAAAATACAAAGCAAAAGAGTATTTTCATCAAAATATTCTGATGAGAACAAACATAAAAGCGAAAGGTTACATACATTTATGTGCTACATAGTCCCTTTGAAAGGAGCGGAGCATAAAAAGGCCACTTGTTTAGTTGTGTGTCATCCAATTGATGATAATCACTAAGGGTGCCAAAGGGTGCCTAGCTGAACTGGTTAGGTGGACTCGGCGGCACTCCTCAGGTCCTGAGTTCGACTCCCCGTGGGAGCGAATTTCAAAAATCCCCTCGTCTGTCCCATGGCCAAAGCACAGGTCAAAAGGCCCAGCTCGGTTCTCACAGGGTAACGGTGCCCCTGTGTCAGGGTGGGGCAGGGGTTCGGGGGTTTTCTCGGCCTATGTGAGAAGGTCTTCTCTCTTACAGCAATGCCTGGGGGGGTGGCTTACCCCCTGCAGGTCGAGTTTTTTTATAATCACTAAGGGTGTGTTTGGTTTGAGGAATGACGTGGTCCATCTTCTTCTCACTCCTTACTTTTTCTATTTGGTTTGTGGAATGGAATGAGTTGATCTATCACCACCTCATTCCTCACAAGCTAATAATTAGTATATGCATGCGGAATGGGTTGATTCCACCAAAATTCATGGGATGAACTCATGATGCATCACCTCATGAACAATGGGGTGAACTCCACAAATCAAACACACCATAAATTTATATGAAATTTGTAGCAAAATGGTCTAACAGTTAAATACCTCGACCTTGTCTTATTAGAATAAACAGCTCTTCGATTAGAAGCCACTCTTCTTGTTTAACTGGATCTGTTCATCTCCAGATTATTGAAGTGCCTCTCCAGCTCGACCAGCTGATTTGTCAAATTCTGTATGACAAAGGATTATTCTCCTCTGATGTCATACAAACAAATGAAGTTAGTCAGAATGTTAGATACTGATACCTGGTTAGCTTTGAGGATATTTTGTCTCTTCACTTCGAATTCTGGACTCAATTTCTGACGGTTCCATATATCCCAGTACTGATTATCTGAAGACTGGCTAACAATTCCTTACATGTAAGTTTGCCTAGCAGAAACTGAAGAGAACAAAAAATAATGTAACATATCAGCCCACGTTTTCTGGTGGCTTCATTCATTTGTAAGTGATCCAGTGAGGCAAATTAAACATAGTTAATCAAGAATAATGACTTGTATTTCTTCAAAATTATATCCAGACCATGTTGGTATGAATAATTGCATATGTATTTTTCCTGATTACACACACACACACATTACAAACAATGGCAAAAATGACATGAAGTATTTATCCTGCAAACGCATATCATTTTGATCAAATAATTTCTTTCAGGTGTGAAGATATGTACGGAAGGAAAAAAAAAAAGGATATGCCCTGTTCTACCTACTTACTAAAAAGATAGCCAAAAGAACATTGAATGTCTCACCTTGAAACACCTTGTTCCTCAGATCTTCAATTTTTGAACATTGTTCCTCTACTTTGCCCTGGGGATTAAAACAAGCTACATTTAATAAAATTTTTATAAGAGATGAATGGACAGCACCACAGACAGACAGTTGAGGGAGGAAGAGTTGGGGGGCGCTCGCAATTATGATATACCTTGAAGACCTGCAACAACTCCAAAAGGTTTTGTAAGCCATCCTCAAACATAGAAAGAGGACGCTGCTGGAAGGTTATGCAGGCATCTCTGAAACCACCATCCTTTTCTATATACGCTAGTAGGGCATTTAACTCCTTCATCACTTCATTTATCTGTAACGAAGGGGACAAACTTTAGTGTCGGAGACAGACAAGATGCCAAAGTATAAGTATGTAGGTGATGCTCCATGAGACAACAAATAAGATGTGCACTTATTACTTAAAAGTTCCTTGCATTGATGATAGTATTTCCTAGAGGTCTGAGGAAAGTAAATAAAGGTAGAAAAAACAACATAATAATTAGAGATGTTCAGATGTCTTACACTGTAAAACTTTTTAGACAAGTCTTGTTCAGAATCGAATCTTGTGCCCATCTTGGAGTTTCTAGAATAGTCTGCTGGTGCTTGTGTCCTGCTGTTATGTGATTTGCCCATAGATTGCTGTGACAGAGGTGATCCACGCAATGATTGAGGTGCTTCAGAGTTTCCTGTCCGAAATCCACTTGACGAAGATCCAATTGGGGAAGGTTTAGCTGGAGATATCGATGGTGAAGGTACAGAGCTTAAGGCAACTGGAGCACCAAAAACTTTTCTATCAGCAGTGTAACTGGTTTGCGGCGAAGGAACTCCAAAACCAACCTCATTCCTTTCTCCGGTCTTGGCAGGGACAGATCCACTAGAGCCTAGAGGTGAACAATGAAGACTTGAAACCATAGACATCACCATCTTTATTGGAGTTTTGAGATCCACCAAATATTCCCACTGTTTGAACGGAATCAAGGCCTTCTTTACCAGTTTGGCTGTTTCCAAAACTTCTGCTACTTGATTGCAAGGAAGGAGCTAATCCATTAGGTGCATTGCCTCCTGTTGGATTCATGCCTTCATTATTGACAGTAGAAAAACTGGAAGATATTGTAGGTTTTGTGTTTCCTGTTAATGCTAAGCTAAGCAAAGCTGCAAGTGGAGCAGTCGCATTCACTTGCTTGGTGTCTAAGGGCTTCTTATTGGAAGAGATAAGCAACAAATTGCCAGTTGTTTCCTGTTCTTTTGAAGCTGAGCTACTGTTTTTCACATTCATTTCCTGCTGGTTGCTACCTGCAGATATAACATAAGGGAACTTTAGTTTTCGAAAGCACTTGGAGAAACAGAAAGATAGCTCATTAAAGTGCAACTTAGAAGCTCTTGGCTAACATCCTTTTACCTGTTTGTGCACTAGAGGGCTCAGCGCCATGTTATGTGAGAGTACTCTTAGATACTGAGCCTGTAACACTTGGAGTCAGCTCCTTTTCAGATACAGTTGCAGGTGAAATATGTTTTTCATCATAGTCCTCATTGGTAGACACAGTAGCATGAGTTAAATCAGAAGGGTCCGAAATCCTAAACAATATACAGTGTCAATACAAAAATGTTTCTCCAACAGAAGTTCAATATTTAGAAGTTAAAGTAGCTAAAGTGACCAAATTTTCACAATATTACGCTGACAAGTATCAACAAACAATATTTACCTGGCGAGGTAATGTACAACTAGTTTGCCTTCACCAGTCAAACAGAGTAGAATATGTTGAGGGGCAACCTCCTTTTGTTCAGGTCCAACTGTTACAGTGATCTTTTGAAATAATGAAACATTCTCAACACCAAACCCTAGTATGACATTGTCATCGCCATTCTCTGAAAAATCACAAAAGAAGACCAGAACTGTTTAGACTTCATTTTCAAAGAGAAGCAACAGCATATCATAAAAGCCATGTTTCATGGGATAGGATTCACCTTGCAAGTCAATCCTAGGACTGTATTTATCCTCCAACATTTCAAGATATGTTACAGTTTTTTCATCATCATGTGCGGATGGCCACTTCAGAAGGGCAATGTGTTCATCAATTCTCTTTTTATTGGAAGCCACCATGAGATCCCTAAAAATTATTTTTAAAAAATCCCCACTTACAAGTTCCCACCAGAGAAGAGAAATGCAAACAGAATCTAGCAAGCAAATAAATATCGCCGTGTACAGCAGGCGGGCTAGCAAAAAGGGGTGGACCTCACCTGACTATATCCATCTTTTTATCTAATGTACTCCCTCAATTTCAAATTATAAGACATTTTGGCTTTTCTAGATTCATAACTTTTGCTATGTATGTCTAGATACATAGTAAAAACAATGTATCTAGAAAAGCCAAAACGTCTTATAATTTGGAACGGAGAGAGTAGTAATATTGAAATCCAACAAAGCAACACCAGCAGAAGAATAATAGACTAATAGATTTTTTATCCTAAGTTCCATATAGAAGACCCATTGCATGGTAAGAGAACCTAACAAGCAAAGAAGACGAAATTCACATGGTTACCCCCTTGCTGACGTATACAGTTAACTGGTTTGTGCCATCTTTCGTATCGTACCTATTGCTATAGGGGTAGTGCCTGGAAAATACTCACTAAGTCACAATATACTCCCTTGATTACAAATCAAGTGGTAAATGTGAACTATTAAAAAAACTCGACCTGGGGGAGAAATGTCCCCCTGATTTTGTTCTTAAGAAGTTTTTGCTAGCCATCGAACCTGAACTGGTGACAGGGGTTTCATTGACCCCCGGACTTTGACGGTCTAAGTGTAACTCAGGAGAAATTGACAAATGGGACCTATAACATGACTAGTAACTGTGTACAATGGCATGTTTTTAATCAAGTGAGTTGATGGATCAAGGATTTCCTTCTCGAAAGATTTTTGGTGAAATCCATGCAGAAAATTCATTTTCCATTTCAGTGCTCATAAAATCTGTCAAAGAACAATCTGCCAACATACATGTTGAGAATACTCAATAGAGCTTCTCAAGGACCTAGGTTCACATACTAACGATGCAGATAACCCAAAAGTAGATTAGGTCCACCTCCGGGTGGTAAAACATCATCCATAATGCCGTGGAAAAAATCAACATAGGTATAAACATCTGGCTTGCCTGGGCTCTATAAGCACATTGCAGAAGTAACGCAGTCAGTTCATCCAATTAGTACTGTAATATTTGTTAAGGCAAAAATTACATAAATATGTTTTATTAACCCTTGCCAATAAATCATATGACAATAAACCAATTTTAGGATTTATTTTTTGATATCCGAGAGTTGAAGGCTATACATCTGAGATATTAAGACAAAATCATAGACACAATTTTAGCTTGCACAAATCGCAACCAAGAACATGGTCTTGGTAAACATTCAGATTATATCCTTGAAACATGATTTGTCATTTGCTGTGGTCATGGCCTAACTATGCCCAGAGAGGTATATGTAGCTATTGAAGCAACTTTGTACACGCATGTTCCTAAAAGTATATGCAAATGAAAAATTTGGTTATGTGCCCAAAGAGATGTCTCTAGCTATTGAAGCAACTTTATACAAGCATGTTGCTAAAAATATATGAAAATGAAACTTTGGCTAAATAGCACATCGCATGTGATATGAATCCGACGACAGCAAAAAAGGCGTGTAGAGGACCACCAAACCTCATAAAATGTGCTTTCTTTAGTCCTTATAACTTGAACAAGATATCCTTCTTCATTGTCATCTTCATTTAATCGAACACACCCAATAACAATACTATCACCATGTACCCAGCCAATGGAATCCACTGCTCGCAAATAGAAAATCATCAATAATGAACAATAAAAGTACATACTAAATGCAATTTCAGCTGCACGCAAACCAATAACATACAAAACGAACTGATGACTCTATGTCCTATGTATACATCTCAATGTTTATGGAGCAAATGTCAAAAAAAAAACTTTCCCAAGGGATTCTGGATGACAAGATATCTCACAGTTTTCTAAGGGGCTATCAATTTTATCATTGGTTCTTCAATATATAATTGTACAGGATGACTACGGTACAGCAAGTCAACTAGTTTTTTCCCATGTGATTCATAAATACTTGTTCCAAGAATCCCTGGTCATCCAATAAGTGGGCATCATACATATAGACTCTGGGGCTCACAATTTCTTCATAAAGACAAAACCAATTGATCAAAGGGTAAAAACATGTAAGAAACACGTGATACTTGTGAATTCAGTGCCTAATGAGAACCAAACCTATCAGCTTCATCTACCATATACTCGCAAAAAAAAGAGCTTCATCTACCATAGACCATAAATCAATTTTACATATCAGTGACTCAGTGTAAGCACGGTGCTGTTTTTCGACAGAGAAGGATCAACTATAGTATATGGTGATGATCACCTCCATTTTACTAGTGTTTCAACTGACTAGTAGACCATCTGCATTACTATTGATGTACACTTGTACAGACCTCCGACAAATTTAATGTAGTCAGCCTTGTTAAGGAAGAATTTGTTGTTGTTGTTGAGGTGTTGTTAAGAGTAACTGTTAGTGAAAATAGATCACAAAATTACTCTATTGTTGTAACTGTAATTTCCTTTATTTTGAAACTTGTAGCATGTAAGTAATGGACATGTTTTCATTTACCTGTATCATCTATGCTATAACATTTGGAAACTACAGAGTACAGAATCATCATAGAACAATGAACATTCTCACCAGTAAACACCGAAGCGTCATTCATACGACTGAAATTCACTTAAGTGGAATCAATTAGTTTCTATAGTGAAGTACATGACATATTTCACACACTAAGAATGTCATAGCAGCAGTTCATGATATGTGTCTCAAATTCAAATGCATTAAGAATAATATTAGGAAAAGACATGGACCTGCATTGATGTTTTCCATCACATCCTTCAGGCCTTCGCCCAAACTCCCATGACAAAGCAACCCACCATTTGAGAGTACAATATATGATGCAGAGGCATGATTTAACCACTTGAAATCTTTCACAGTGCCAGCTCGTCCCAGGCTACATGATGAGGATGGTACCACATCCTGTGCAGCGCAATTGTTAAGAAATGTTAAAATCTTGACAAAAGCCATAACACCTTCTCTAACAGAAGCTTGTGAATAAGCTAACGGCGCTGAAAACAGATCAGATCAATAAACAGCACAATGCAGGGCTTATCCAGCAGCGTGAAAGGAGTAACCAATGCTGAACTCCCACAAGCCCAACTACTCAGAGAGAAGCATACATGGATATGCCCCTATTCCATTACTGACTATAGTGCTCTTACATGAAAAAGTCACTCAAGTTTGTGAAGAAACTAAATTAATCAGTCCCGTCGACTAGTCTTCTCATTTCACGTACTACTGCGCTAGCCTATATAGAAATCCAGCATGCACAAATTTTGCAGAGATCCTGAGGAAAACTGATAACCTTATGTGTGAGCAGAGACGCCAACGAGAAGAACTGGATCTCAGTATCTGTGCAGGCGGCTAACACAAACTCATCATGGGAGAGCGCGATGAGGGATACACCAGGGAGGGGCACGTCGGCGACGCAGCAGTCCTGCGCGCAGCGGGTGCTCGCCTTTCCCTTCTCGCGCGCCTCCTTGCCGGCTTCGATCAACTCCTTCGTCCTCACAGCTATAAACCCTGTAAACGGAATGAGAAGCCCTAGTTAGGCGGTGAGGTCGAGACGGGAATGCCGAGCGGAGTAAACATTCGGCTCGTTGATACCGCAGGGGTGGGCGAGGAAGACGGTGGCGTGGCGGTCGGCGACGACGAGCGGGCGCGCGGGAGGGGACAGCAGGTCGAAGAGCGGGAGCGGGTTGGAGTCGGTCGGGAGGAGCGGGATGGGGTCTCCGGCGAGGCGGAAGACGAAGTCGGTGGTGCCGTCCTCCTCTCCCTCCACCTCGTCGGATAGCTCGAGCTCGCGCGGCGCCCCCATGGCCAGCGGGAGCGCGCGGGTATGCGATGCAAAAAGGCAATTGGTAGTACTGCAACCTGCAACTGCAATGGCAATGCCGCCTTGTTGTTCTACAGCAGCCAAGTGTTTCGGCCAAAGTCCATGCTCATCTTTGATTTGTATCTTTCAACTTTCAAGCATAGTTTACACGGATTGTAATCTCATCCATGCGTACTAGTAGAACCTTGTACTAAGCCGATCTTGTGGATGAATGTAACGGTGCCATTCCCCACTCCCCAGTGACCTCTATTTTTCAGCGCAGCTATGAGTCAAGTGCAACACAGAAACCGTTTCTGATACAATACCACACGGAAACTGGTACTAGAAAACAGTACCACGTACCATTATATACAATTGGAGCAGGATACACATGTGAATTTTGTTCGTTAGACGCAGAGGGGCTACACGTTCCGTGCGAAAAATCGGACTTCTTGAATCCAGCCTAATCCATGGGTATCTCCATGACGTGTATTGGCTACTGATGGGATCCCTTCTGCAACCTAAAATTTCAGGAATCTTCCGGCGGCGGCTGCTCTCTGCTTCAATCCTGTGCTTTCCCTTGCACTAAAGTCATTACTTCATACATAACTTGATGTCTAATTGCCGAGAATATTTGGTTACCCCTCACTATATCGATGCTTTCCACCTTCTTGTCTTGAAAGTTGTAATGAAGCGCTAATCGTACTTGAATAGCAAGATTACCACGTGGCCGTCAAGGAAGACGACCAGTTAAAAAAGAGCCTCCAGCTTCATAACCATGGTTTTTTTAATCGGGAGTCTCTCCTAGCTTGTACAAATATCAGGGTTGGAAACTATTTGGCCACTGCTACAACCTGCCGCAGGAAGCTTTTTACATTTACTATATATCATCAACCATAAATAAATAAGAAAAACTAATGCAGATACACTCAGGTTTGGCAGGAATGCGTGCTCTATTCAAATCTTAAGTGGAGATAAAATGATCTTGTGTATACTATTGAATATAACACCACTTTCCTATAAAAAAAATTAACACAGCTGAACAAGAGAACTTCCAATGTACCACATGAGTCTAGAAAAGAGACTAGTGTTCGTTTTCTTGGGTAGAAAAAAAGTAGCAAATCCGGGTAGGAAAAAAAGGTAGCAAGCGCTGCTGTTCTAAATAAGCACAAGTATCGTCTCTCATCAGCTAGGGTCTATTGTCTTTGTGAGCAAACATTAAAAAATACTACACATCTGTAGTTCAGATCACAGAAAAAAAAATGTAGCAGTGCCTCTGTGCAGTTCGAGAACATCTCAGGTGCTTACATTAAAAAAAAGGCATCGAAATGTGTACGACATGTTCCACCAAAAACGAGGGGATAGACGACATGGTTTGTGTTCATGCAAAATTTGAGATGCAACAAAAATATGTGCAAGGAGATACAAAAAGGTGAAATCAGCAACCCAAAACTTGCAGTTCATATCGCAGAAAAAAAATGTAGCAGTAGCTCTGTGTAGTTCAGATCACAGAAAAATGTAGTCGCGGCTCTGTGCAGTTGAGGTCATAGAAATCAAGAACATCACATCAGGAAACACATGTGCGTGTAGATAATTATTGAGATTATATACAGGAAGATCTAGAGTTTACATCTCATCATTTTGCCTATGTGATTGAAATGATCCAAAAGTCAAGGAATCTCTATCACAGCAGTAGAGAAATTGAATAATCTTACAGAAAGCTAGTCCTAGAACAAGCAGAAATAATCATAAAAGAAAAAACTTACAACAATATGTGCAGGCTTCCTTAAACAAGTTGAGTAACTTCTATCTCTGCAATGGTAACCTCAGTTCATGTGCTTTGATTTTGTTTCAGTGCCTCCATTTTTGACAATAACTCCCCAATGCTAGCTACCATCCTAGTTTTCATGCTGTGAAATTCATGGTGTGTTCTTTCAATGACTTGGAGTTCTTCAATCTTTCGCTTGCGCTGCTCTTGTAACTCATTTATGTCAAGATCAGCAATTTGGGTGGCATAATCTTCCTCAATTCGTGCATTTTTTACCATAACAATATGTCTCAGATTGTCAACTTCATTGCGTGCATCATTTGCACGTTCCTGGTACATATACGCTTCAGCCTGCTTTAATCTGATCAGGCTATCCAGTTCATCAGTGGCAGGCTTATTATCAATTGTCTGAAACTTAGCTTCACCAGATTTTCTAGGCACAGATGGGCTCCCTGTGGTAGGAAGAGCAGTTGTTTTGTCTAAAACTGGAAGTCCCTCTAAGGTAAATGGTATCCATGCTGCCTTCCGACTTGAACTAGGAATCCCATCAATAGCTTCAGAAATGCTGCATGGAATTCCTTTGAGTGGTACTGATGGATCAATGCCGAAGTTAGCACCATCATCTGAAATTGGAAAGTGAAGAGTTAGTAAAACTTCGTTTGATGACAAATGATAGCATGTATATTTACATTTCAACATCATAGTCATTAGAGCATGGATACCTACCCCTTGCTAGGTGCTATACTCTTGCTAGGTGCTATACTGCTACTAAGTATGAACTATGAGTTGGATCATGATGCCACTTCAGTGGTCTTTTGGCCCAAGGCACTCATCAGATAGCTTTGTAACCCTTGCTAGTGGTGCTATGAAGTATGAACTATGAGTTGGGTGATGCCATTTTCAGTGGTCCACATTATGTAAACTAGAAAGCCCACAAGCCAGTCTATTACTCTAGCTATGTAGATAAAGCAACAAGTCGCAGTAACCCAGTTATTAACCCTATTTCTCCCAAAGAAGAAAACATCACATGGAACACAATAAAAAAGAAGCTTAAACGACATGTTAACTATGTTGAAGTAGCTTACCAGAAAATAATGCAATGACACATCTGACAACTTCAGGATGATAAGCCTTGTTTTCTGACTTAATTAGCATCTGCTTCACGAAGTCCCTGACCCTCTTGCCCCTTACATCATCACTTGCAGAAAAAATTCTTTCTACATATTGTAACTCTCTAACCAGCATCTCGATCCTCCAATGCCGCGCACATGTTCGAAATACTTCCTTCACAAAACCAAACATCTCTGATGGGTGTCCACAGGCAGCACAGTGAAACTGCATCTCAGTAGTTCCATATGCCCTTGAAGCACTTTGCCCCTTTCGAATAAGAGAGTGGCGTAGGCCACAATCTGTGTGGCACCAATGAAGACATACATCACAACCAACCCAACTACAAGTATTAGACGCTGAGTCGAACTTTGAACAGACAATGCACATGCAAGAACTACAGAAACCAGTCTTCCTCTGACAAATTTTACAATCACAATCATCCACTGGCAGAATGCTTTGGCATGAGAGATTTCGGCATTTCAAGTTGAGAAAAATGTCAACCAAATTAGATGTAGCAACACTACTACTTTTCTTTATAAAATATGGAAGGCCAGTCCTTATAGCAACAAGTATCTCCATCAACAGGCGTGGACATGATCGCAACATATCAATATTCAAGTCAGATCTTTTCTTGAGTGCCTCCTGCAAAGCAATTATTTGTCCTCTTTTATCTGGATCAACTATGATTTCAGAAATGGCCTCCCTCAAATAAGTTATAGAATTTTCTGTCATCTCTTGAAGCATCCTTCCTGTAAGATGCAAAGGTTCTGAAACAACCTTGGAAATAATCCTCTCAATGACACCAGCACCATTAATGACAAGTTGTCCCCCCTCCTGCCGTTCACCCCTTGTAAGGCTGTTGCTACTTCTCTCTCTTGTAAGTTGCCTTCTATGTCTATTATGTTCCAATCCAGAGTCATGAGAACCACGACTATGTGTTGGCGACAAAACTCCTGGGATTTGCCTCTGTAGGTCAGTGGATATTCCACTGTTATGCACTTTTATCCCAGCCAAAGTGCTATTATCTGCCATATGACCATTTTGGAGTACTCTCTGAAGGAGTGGGGTAGCACTCCCCTTCTGTGTAGATTCACTAGATAGCTGAGCTTGCCTTCCTGTGTGATTGCTCGTCTGATCAACTCCCATAAAGAAAGGTTTGCTGCCTACTGAATGCTCATAATTGTCTAATGACTGTTGGGTGAGTGAGCAACTAGGATTGTGACCAAGTGTTTGAGAATTGGGCAATGGTATTGAAGTTGGGAACCCATCTGAGTTAGTGAGGAAAGATGATGACGGTAATGGCTGAGAGCATGCTGCATGGACTAAAGAAGCAGTTTTAGGAATCGAAGACTTAGATCCAGAATTCTGTAAACAAACTGATAAGCTCAATGACAAATCAAGTTTCTCTAGCTTGATTGTGTCATGTTCTGTCTTTACAACAGTGGTTGAAGCAGATTTTGATGTTTGTGTTGGTTCTGCCCCAAGCTGCAATGTCGATTCAAGACCTCTTCCCAGTGAACTTGAATGATCTACTTTAACTTTCTTACTAAGGACATCAAATGCTATGCCATTTCCTTTATCTTCAGTCATCTCCCTTGTCATTAGATTTGTACTGGAAACCTCTTCCTTACTACCCCCAGCATGTTCTTTCGTTGGTTTAAGGAACATATGGGCACAGTCAGCTTTGGCCTCGATATCAAATCCTTTTACTTGTTTCTCAACATTTTCATGCATAACAGATGCCTCCTTTTCTACTATCATGGTTTCCTCTGATGTACCTCTTTTCCCACAATGATGCATCTCAAGTTCCCCTTCTACAGGCTGAGATGTGATATCTTCTGTTGGCTCATCCATCTCTCCAATTGCAGTTAATTTTTTAAATTCTTTACTTTCAGGAGCCTGTTGGTTTTGAGAAACCATCACCTCTCCCTGCAGCCCAGTAGACATACTACTCTCGCCAATTGAATTAACAGCACTGGAGGTTACTTCTCGCACAACTGCTTTACCGAGCATCGCTTCCTCCACCATATCGGATGAATTACTTTGTTCTGCTACAACAGTGGTAATGGCAGTTTTATCCATTGTCAACTCTCCTTCATGCATGGCTTCCTTAAGCATACCAGAATAACTGACCGGTTCCACAGTATCGATATTATGGGCAGTTCCATCCAATATTATCGTTTTTTCCTGCATTGCCTCCTGCGGCAGATCAGAAGTGCCAGTATCAGCCATATCAACAACATCGGCACTTCCATCATGTTGCGTCACTTCTTCCTGAAGAACTTCCTGCAGCATATCAGAGGAAGCTCTATTCACAACCTCATCAACAGCATGGGCAGTACTGTCTAACTCCAACACTGCATCCTGTAGCACTTCTTGCTGCATGAGAGGTGAAATGCTCTTTGCAACCACAACAGCAGCATTGGCAGTCTTGTGTAATGCCATCACTTCCTGCACAGCTTGACTAAAACTGGATGAAGCACTCTCTCTGACTTCATCAGTATCATTGTTAGTTTTATCTCTTGTTGTTGCTTCTTCCTGAGTACCCTCCTTCAGCATAGTAGAGGAAGTGCTCTCCCCAACCATGTCAACCGAATTGGTAGTCTCTTCTTCTGGCTTCACTTCCTCCTGCAGCACTCCTTGCTGCATGGGTGACGTGGTTAGCCCAAACTTACTAGCATCAGTGGTAGCCACACATAGTGCTTGTACCTCATGTCCTCCACTGACTTCCTCTGTAACCATCGTTGAAGACTTCTCACGCGCTTCATCCATTGCTTCAGCCAGCAGTATACCATCCCTTTTCTTGCCTTCCTCCTCCTTCGCTGCATTGTCAGCATCAGATGCACTAGAGGCTCCATTAGCTTGACCTCCCAAATTTGCTTGGACCCCAGAATTCAATTTCTTCACCTTACCTTGCTCCAGCCCCTTCTCCTTAACACGGCTTGGCTCAACCTGCTTCCGATGCTCCACAGCAGCAGGCCTGGCCTTGGGCTCAGCATCTGGTGCGAGCTCCCCTTCCTCCACCTCATTGACGCCGGCAGTGTGCTTCCTCAGCTTCTCTGCCTTGGCAACCTCAAACCTCCTTCTCGGCTCACTGGGCGACCGTGACCGTGACCGCGATGGCGCTCCCAGCCTGGCGGGTGCCCTGTACTCGTCAATACACTCGGCGTCCCTCCACCCGCTTCCCGGCCGACGCCACGTCGAGCTGCCGTCACCATCCCGCCGCGACCTGTCACGCTCCGACCGGAAACCCTTGGGGAACTCCCGGCGGAAGCCAGAGAAGCTCTCGGACCGGTGCATCGCCCGGTCGTCCCCACCATACTCCCTTGGGGAGGGGTACTCTCGGTACCGGCTGTCGTGGAACCTGTCGCCGCCGCCACCGAACCCCTTCCGGCGATCGAACCTGTCGCCTTCGTACTCCCGCGGCGGGCGCCGCGGCGGTGGGGGCAGCGGGGGCCCGCGGTCGTAGAACCTCCGCCGGTCGTCCTCCAGGCCGTCGCCGAACGACCTCTGCCGCTTCATGCCGCCGCCGAGACCAACCCCGGCCCTCGGATTCACCGAGAAGGGTGCGGGTGGGGTTGCTCAGGGGAGATAAGGAAAGCCAGGAGCAGCGCTCACGGGGAAAGGCGTGCGCGAGATGGTCACCGCTCCAGCCGCATCCGCATCCGCTGCCGTCCCTCTCCTCTCGTCGTCTCTAGCCGCCTCCGCTTGCTTCCGAGTCACTCCTCTCGCTCGCTCCCGGCCACTGCCTCTAGGTCGCAGTCAACGGCCGTCGCCTGGATTTGGACCCGGGTCGGAGATTTCTCCCCCGGCTCACCGCGGTAACAGAGAAATGGCCCGGGTTTCTACCGCCGAAGGTGGTGGGTAGGGGGCTAGGGTCAGGGACACCGGACACGCGGCTCCTGCGTCCCCGGCGCCAAGCGGCCTGCGTGCCACTGACTTTCGGGCGTGCGGCTCGCCAGGGCCCGCCGTCATCGACCGAGCAGGGGCCCGGTACAGAGAAGATGAGGAGGTGTGGGCGGAGACGTGCAGTCTGCGTCCACTCCACGTGAGAGCCGGTCCGGACTGGCAAAGCGCAGGGCGCCAGATCCGGGGCGCGCTGGCGGAACAGGCAGCGCGGGATCGGCACCGCAGCCGCTCGGCGCGTGGCGGGAGGACGGGAGCGTGGACGCGCGGGATAGGGTGGCGGTGGTGGTGGGTGTGGTCGAGGTGCGGACTGGGTTGGTGGTGGGTGACTGGTGCGGTGGTGAGTGGTGGGATGCGGCGGGGAGGTGAGTTGATGGCTCGTGGGTGGGACGAGTCGGAGGGTGGGGGAGGTGTGGGTCAGCTTTTTGACTGCTGCTTCCCTAGGTCGGAGAGAAGAGGAATCAGCCGCTTGGACCTTTTTGACCTCCAGGGTCCGTCATGGGCGTCATCCGCAGTCCGCACTCCCCCGATGGAGAAAGTAGTTGGGTCGGGCTTCGTTCCCGGACACATCTCGGACGGGCTGCCCACCATTGGTTAAGAGCCCAAGAACTTGTGTAACCCTTTCTAAAGTGACGGCCCATCACTTCCAGTGGTTGACATCAATAACACTAAAAAAAGGGTGAGGCCCATTTAACCCATATTTTGTCGCTGAGTCTAAAAACACGCCTCAGCTCCAATACTAGATCCACTCAAAAAAAAAACTCCAATACTAGTAGAAATAATACATCTTTTAACTTTTGAAACATGACAAATACTCCTTTTGACCATTTCAAAATAGTTTCTTACATGGTTTTGATGATGTAGCAGAGGCTCACATGTCATGTCATCTCTCTTTCTATATATAAAAAGTTCATACTTTTTATAAAGATACTGTATATCAAAATTATAAAGATCAATGTGATCTACAACTTCGCAAGTGATAACTTTTTTATTTGATATCACTTAGATGCCCAAATATTTGTTATAAATTATTAGATTTTGAAATTTAAATTTTTTTATTTTTTTTAAACCACTTCAGGATGTTGACATAATATACACAAATGTTGTAGATCTCAATATGATTTACAACTTTGTAGTTGACAGATTTTTTTGAGATTCTTTTTGTATGTGTAAATATTTATTTTAAGTTAAAGGATTTTGAACTTCAGATTTTAACATTTTTCAAACCACTCGAATGTTAATATGATCTATACTAGAGGTGTGCACTCAACCCGATCTACAAATTTGTAGCTGATCATTTTTTTAAGATTGTTTGGGTGCCTAATTATTTGCTTTTAAGTTATTAGAGTTTGAAATTCAAAATGTTAAATTTTCAAATGACATTGAATTGAATGGAGAGACACTCTATACCAACGTTGTAGTGCTCGATGAGATCGAAATATTTCTTGTTAAAATTGCTTCATTTAAGATCATTTAAAAGCTTAAATATTCAATAAAATATATCATGGATAAAAAAACATACTCCGTCCGTCCCAAAACAAGAACATGAATCTCATCTCTCGAGGAGTCAATTAATTTTGACCAAATATATAAAAAAGAGCATTAATGTTTATGATACGTAATAAGTATCATTAGATAAATCACGGAATATATTTTCATAATAAACTTAATTAGAGATTCAAATGTAGATAATATTTTCTATAAATTTAGTTAAACTTTAGATTCTTTGAGTTCTCGGGAAACGAGATTTACATTCTTTCTAGGATGTGGGAGTAACATGTAGGGCTTACATGTCACATCAACCAAAACCACACGAGAGCAACTTTAGAATAATTCGCAAAGAAACAACTTTAAAATAGTTAAAGGGGGTATTTTACTATTTTGTCCAGTTTTAAAAGTTAACGACTTCTGATTTCAGTATTGAAGTCTGGGGTTTTCAAACTTGGCCACGAGTTCAGGAAACAACTGTAGATATTTTTAGTTCCATCATTTTTCCCGTTATTTCGATTTACCTTCCAGAAAACAACGAAGAACGTCTCGTTTGGATAACTTTCATGATCTGAAGAAAAACAAAACACTCAACGGAATGTTGCGGATGTCTGACCAAGTTTCACATTTGAATCACGAATTCACGATCACTACAGCTTGAACTTGCTTCGGGCAACCGCCTGATCTGCTTCAGGTACTACATGCCATGCCTACATGTCGCTGTCCTTTCTCCTCCTCCTCTCATAGTCTGCACCTACTTATCCGTTCTCCCTGGAAAGATCAACAGACGACCCCATCCCCAACCCACAAGCTAGATCTGATCGACCGTCCAGGCGTTCATGCATGGCTTCCCTGGGCATGCTTACCACCAGGACCACTCCACATGTTTCGGAAGGCTGCCGGCGACGATATAGCAGCGCCGTGTCTAGGCCGAGATCCTACTTCCTCTGCCAAAGTCGCCTCCCGTCCGGGCCGCCAGCAAGCGACGGTGGAGGAGGAGGTGGTGGTGAGAAGAAGACCCCATGGTGGGCTGCCACGGCCGAGAGGCTGCGCGGCGACGTGGTGAAGGCGGGGATGGCGGCGCGGGAGAGCCTGAGCCCCAAGCAGAAGGGGGACTGGAAGGACGTCACGCTCATGAGCTTCTCCTTCGCTGTGTATGTGTACATCTCTCAGAAGCTCGTGTGCGCGTACTGTGCTTGGCTCTCTATGATTAATCACTAACTTGGTGCTGTAAATCATCTATACCGTTGCCGATCCACAAGCTAGAACAGAATATTGTTATTAGATGCATATATGGATGCTGTACCTGTAATATATTTCGCTCCAAATCCAATAAAGCCCCAGTTGCCATTGTTACTTGTACTTGCGTCATTGTACAGGATGAAATTTCATTTTACCGCTAAATTGATTCAGAGTTTGACTCAAGCTCATATACCAATGTACCATGAACACCGCTGTCATATAATCACGTAGTCATAGAACACAATGAGCAAAAAATGGATGGAATAGGAACAAAATTGCACATATATTAGCAAAAAGAAGCGTTACCGTTACATACATATATGACCTATTCATCGGCACTGTACTCCGGGCAAATTAACTCCGTCTCAGGCTCTCAGCTCACTTACTGACTACTTATAATTATTACTTACTACCGATCTGACGAGAAGTCAGGCCTCGTTACTCATCAGTGGGTCATAAATAAATTATTTATTACGTAGATGCTGATCGATGCTACTGTGGACGCCAAACTGAAAGAGTTCTCTCTTCTGCTTACGCCTGAATCCTTCGCAGTTTCGCTGCAGCAGCCCATCACTCACTCAGGTCATCACAGAACACACCGCCACCCGGCCCATTCTCCACGGTCCTCACCGATGCCGCGGCAAGCTGATGTTGCCGATATCCTGGAATGGCGACCGCTTCGGCAGCACGCTGCTGGGTGAGTGCTTCACGCGGCAGATGAGGACGTGCTTCTTGATCTCCTCCTTGCCGGGTTCCTGGGATCGCTGGTGCTGAGGCTTTGCTCTTGGGTTCTCCATCTTGCACGCATCTGACCATTGGTTTTGGTTAGGAATAGGAATAGCAGCTGGGGTTGGTAAGTGGGCTTTGAAAGTGTGTAGCTTGCTTTCGAGCTCTGAAATCTTCCTATGCAGCTCTTCCACACGCTGTTCGGACGCTTGTGCCTGATTTTTCCACTCCAGTATCTGCCACATGTTGAAAATTTTCGATTAGATTGACTATCTCACTGACGGACATTGACAAAATGGATACTTAGGGAACACATTGATAAAAAGCTCAATGCCAGAAGCATTCAGGGTTCAGTACTTCACTGATATAAACACAAAGAAATGCTGCGTTCAACTTATTATGAACTAGAGAAATAACTAGTCTTCTGTCCAGACTACCATTTTATTTCCAGTAGAAATACTAAAACAAGTACTATTATGTCAGGTTTAATGCCTCCTTTTTTATTTAAAATAAGAGATACTACGCGCAGCAGGGCAGGCTACCAAAGGGCTCCCTGTTGCTGCACTGTAGTCGCGGCAGGGACAGGTGCCGAAAGGCTCCCCTGCCGCACTGTAGCCACAGCAGGGGCATGCGCCAAAGTCAGCCCTGCTGTCACATCTAGTCACTGTAGCAGCATGTCAGCCTGGCATGTCTGTGTACTATGATTAGATGGGTAGAGTTGTATTTATAGCTTCCCACTGCGACTCAGTAAAGTGAGCGAGTTCAGGTTTGCCATCTCCTCTGCAGAGCTCCGGCCAACGCTGGTGCTTGTGCGGGTTCTCCCTCCCTTCTTCTACCTCCAGCTGTAGTGTGTGTGGTTGGCAACGATGGTGAGCGGTCGGCTCACCCATGCCGGAGATCTTGGGACCAACACATACTTTAGAATATGAGGTGGTGAAATTCTAAAAAAAAGGTTAGCGATGTATTTGAAAATAGGAAATGTAAAGTTTGACAAACAACTACTGTATCACTAGATTAGTCATCTGATAATAATTTTTAGAAGTTAGCGACCAGATTCATATATTGCAATCCATAGACCTTGAATAACACACAAAAGAGCAACAAAAAAATATAGCATTACACAGAATATGTCGCTATCTCCACTATTTCACTGTCAGAAACAGTAATTCTGCAGTTCTTTTCGACAAATGGTGCACCAGCAGAATTATTGAGTAAGAATTATGATACTAAATGCTGTAAAATTTTCAGTGTCAAAATAGACTTTCAGTAAGTGTTGTCATCAATTCACCACAGGTCCACAGCCTTCACAATGCAGCATCTTCTTTACCATGAGTCAGACACCAAAATACCCCATTCAAAATAGTTTTTACTTGATCTACGCACAGTACTTCAGTGCATTTACATTTTACATGAATAAATTCAATTATGAAGACATAAGCATAGCTATAACATCTACTTACTTGAGAATTCAAGGAGCGTAGACTGATGTCAGAAGCCATAGCCCGATGCTGCCATGTATCTCTGGAAGATTGCAGCTCTTGCATCTCCAACCTCACCTGCTCCAACATATCTTGCATCTCAGTCCATTGATCAGATTCTGCCTTTACTTGCTCCATTATCTTCCACACGATTTCCCTGCAGTCGCAGCAACTTGCCGAGCCCACCAATTTGCACTCTTCAGCCATAATCTGCTGGGAAAAAGGAACAGTTACTACTTAAACTTTCTGCAAGCAATATGAGTAGATTTAGCTTGACTTTAGCCTGAAGACGACAAATGATTCAGTGAGCAAACAATATATGCAAGAAGCGTCACTGGGACATAGGGGCAGAAGCAGAGGGTGCAGGCGGGAGAACGCCATAAAGTTTATCCAGTATGTGTCGATAAAATTCCAAAGCATTGCTATTCCTCAAAAGCGAAGTCTACAACTATCAATAATAAACACAGCTTTCTCCGAGTACCAGTTGCTTCAGATTTGAATGGATTGCCTCACCAACTGGCTTTCCTGTCAATGCATAGTACTGGATTGCCATTCAGAATTGGAAACCCAACCAACTTCAGTCTATCTATATGCACGCAGAGCAAGCATATGCTGTGATATGCACATCAGCTGGTGAGCAGACATGGTCTAGTTGATACGAAGCAGTCGGAGCGAAAGCAACTCGACGAACACATGCCCTAGTCCCTAAGCCTGGCCCAGACCTTTTGAACTAGCCAGGAAAAGCTTTGCTTTCTCGTTTTGGGGGCAACATCTCCTATGTGAATCTCATACTTGGTACAGATACTGTGATAGATCATGTGCCAGCTTGTGGCATCAAAGCTATGTATACGCCTTTGCCAAAGTGGGTAGTACCTTCAGTACCTGCTCTGGCACGTGCTAGTTTGTCTTAACTGATTGCTGAACTTCACCTCCTGTCCTCCTTGCAGTTTCAAATTTGCTGGTCAGATTTTTTTTTTTTTTTTTGGCATGTATTCAAACTTCCCCATTGAAGGCGAATCTTTTATCCCAAAACAATAAGGTGCGGCTACGGTAACGGCATCACCATTCTTGAAGCCAAGTGACTAGTACTCACAAAAACATTTGTTGGACGAGATGCAGCCATGCAGACAAGACACATATGCATGCAGTGCAAGTGCAGATGCGGTCTAGAAATTAGCACCCACAAAAACAAAACTATTTGAAAATGTTCAAACAAAGCCTCTCGTAGGCCCACGTCTCAGATGAGCAGTAACAAACAGAACTAACGAAAAGCTCCAACTTTTTGGCCCAGGCCCAAGAACCACTGGACCACCGGCGCCGATGATGCAGAGATGCAGAGTCACTGACAGCTTGGGCCGTATCGCAATCATTGACGGTTCAAATCAGGGGAACACATGCTAAAGCTATCTTTTGAATGCTATATCCTCCACTACGAGTAGTAGCGAGGTGAAGCAAAGATGAAAAGCCTGGCTAAAAGTGTCAAGTTTCTCACAACATGGTCCCATCCTCCACATCAAAAGAAAACAGTGATTATTACCAGCAGCATAGTATCAGTCGAGAAGGAACCCATATTATGGCCATAATGCATTAGGAGTTGATAGCAACGTGCCAATCCATAGATCCGTGGCCCCAGGGGATCATCGGCCAATTACTCATATCCCTACAAACCCCCAGTGGCCAGTGCAAAACCCTGTACAAGTGATCCCCACGGTACAGCAACGGCCTGCACTGCATGTCTGCATCCGGTGCTGTAGGCAATTTCAAAACTCGTCCTGATCAACCCGGATGAGACAAAAACCGACTTAATCGTGGATTGATAATGGCGTCAAGTGGAGTGTGCGTCGCTGACCAGCAGTGCCCCCAGGTCAACGACATTCGGGCGCCCAAGGCTAGCCCCGCGATTCGCTTGGTACTCCTAATCTTGCTTCCCGAGAAAGCAAGGAATATCGAAGCTAGAGTAATGAACAAGCTAATAAACTGTGTTATGAACAGTGCGGAGGAGCAAATTTGAATCGTACCATGTGCTGCTGTTGACGCTTCTCCGCCGCCACGTTCTGGCGGCTGCGCCCGTGCGGGCCGGCGTCGATGGTCGACGGCGCGTTGCCGTTGCTCGCTGTGCTGCCCCCGCTCCAGCTTCTCTGGCTGCTCGCGCTCGCCTTTCGGCTGTGCCGGTTGCTGCATTTCCTTGACTGGCAGCCAGTGTTGTCGCCGGAGGCAACGGCTTCCAGGCGCCGGCTGTACTCCGCCATCCGCTCGCGCATGCCCTTTGACATCCCCTCCATCTTCATCCTCAGCATTTCCACCTTCAAGTTTGCAGAGCACACAATGTACGTTAGTCATCGGCAAAGATATTGAAACAGTGACACAACATCATTGCGCTTTACTACGTATTAATACCGGGGCGCCTTACATCGGAGGTGTTGGCGCTGTGGACGCGTTCATCGTCGTCGCTTTGCTCAGCCGGTGGTGGTGGTGGTGGTGGTGGTGGCGCGGGGACTGGCAGGGCGATTTCGCGGATGTCCTTGATGCAGGGCTCGGGGTCGGCCGGCGGCATCTTCTCGAGGCGCCGGCGGAGCGAGGACGCCTGCCGATCGAAGTTCCTCCCGTGGCTCCGCTGCAGCTCACGGACACCGCTCATCGCCCTCCTCCCGCTCTCCTTCTCCACCCGCAGCTCCTCCATCATCTCCTCGAGGTCCTCGATCCCCTCGTCCAGCGCCGCCGCCACGCCGACGTCGCCCTTCCCGTCCATCTTCTTCCTCCCCTGTGGTAGCACCCATATGAGAACATCATCATGTCGGTGGCACAACATGCAGTACTTCGATTGAGGCGATGACTAGTCGGAATGACCCGTGTTGTGTCGTCGTGTGTATTACCGATACGAGCGTTTCCACGGCGGACTTGAGCGCGGCCTCCATCTGGCCGCGGTGGCGGTCGAGCTTGCGGAGCGCGACCTCGCGTTCCATGCGGAGGAAGTTGCACTCGGCGCGGAGGATCTCCGCTTGGAACCGCCACTTCTCCTCTTGTTCCTCGGCGTCCTCCTGCGACCGCGGCGCTGCCCGGGAGCACGGAGGCGGCGACGCCGGCGCGGACTCCAGCCCGCGCACGCGGCGCTCCATCTCGAACAGCGCGCCGAGGTTGACCGGCCTCGCCGGCGGCGGGCGGGGCTGCGCGCGCCCCGCGCCCCGGCTGGGCCTCCCACCGCCCGACCTCCTCGCCAGGTTGAGGCTGATGATCCTCGGCGTCGCCGCCGCGTGCTGGCTCTTGGACGCCCGCCGCGCCGACATCGACGCCGCTCAGGCCTAGGAGATCGGATTGGCCCTCCGACCGAACGGAAAGAGAGGGGCCGCCGGTGAACGTGCGCGCGTGTATGGAGGGATGTTGACGGACGGGGGGTTTTCTCTCTTTTCCTCGGGCTGAGGCGGCAACGGTCGGGTGCTTTGGGTCTGTGGAAGGTGTTGGTCGGAGGGAGAAGGCGTCGGGAGGAAAAAGGCCGGGTGCACGACAAGTGAATGAAAGGAAAGGAGGCGGTGTGTCTTGTTTTCCGTGAAAAGCCACGATTTGAAAGGATCTTCGCCGCGAAAATGACTGGATTGCCCCACGCCGGGCTGGGGCTCCGATTCGGCAGAGCAGACCAGCAAAGCAACGATTGGGCAATGACGACCGGGTGGTGGGTGGGATGGGCATCGAGCGGACAAGTTGATGCAGGAGGTCTGGGACGTGCGTTGCAGGGGGGTGAACATCTCGCGTTGCTGCGTGCGCACCGGCAACTGCAAGTGCCCCATGCTACGAGAAAGCAGCCATCCAGCCTGCAGCATTTTACTAGTACCATTTCAAACAATTCTTTCGGTCTCTGTTCTCAAAAGTATTGCTCTCTGTACTCTGTTCTACCACCGCGTAAATTCGTGGGAATAAGCGCGTGTTCAGTTCCTCCTCAAAATCTCAAAAAAGCATTTTACTAGTACCATGAGCGAAAAAAAACAATGCTTTCGGTCTCTGTTCTCAAAAGTATTGCTCTCTGTACTCTGTTCTACCACCGCGTAAATTCGTGAACTAAACACGGCGTAAATCTTTTTTTAAAGGAGGTTGTTTGTGGGCTGTAGTAATACTGACGGTGCATCACGGGAGCCCTGAACATGCAAAGCTGGAAGCCAGTTCCATTATTAATTTTATTTCCATTCACAATAGAGCATCCTCTCGTTCAATAATCAATAATCAATAGCTTGCCATACTATCCGAATGGCATCCTGTGTTGCACCAAGGTGACGCTATTTGATTCACATATTATCCGTGGTGAGCTATAGTGTATTATCATTTGTGTTAATAAGTCAACCCACTTCAAGTTTGACTAAAATTATAGGAAAACATACTAATGTCTACAACATAAAAAATACATTCCATAATGTTTCTAATATAGCTTATATGATGTCAATGATATTACTGTTTTTCTATAAATTAGTCAAATTTAGAATAAGTTGACTTAGGACAAATAAAAAATACACTATATTTCTTGACAGATGAGGTATTAACTAAAACTAGGCGTTCATATTCCCATGACAGCAACCGGATGTGTGCATCATAGATGGCACGAAGCCTCCATCTAATCATAATCCACTCTCTCGTAGCTATAACTAACTTGCATCAAATCGTCTCAGATTTGTGAAGAATAAAGCTCCACTAACGAACCTGCCCAAATGGACCGTAGGTCATCTATCTAAATTATCAGCATGGGTTATTTAGGTAGATATTTTTCTACCCATCCATTCCAAATTATAAGTTATTTTAACTTCCTTAGAGAGTCAAAGCATCTAAAATTTGACTAGAATTATAGCTAGAGGAACCATTTGTGCATCATATATTGCATGCATGCATGCCATTTTGTAAGTTCACCTGAATGTCAACGAGATGCCAGCAGCTGCTACCCAACTAATGCTAAGCGCGGAACCATTTGGCCCTTGGGACATTACACTCAGCGCTTGTAATTCAGAATCCCCTCCCATATGTATCAAAGAGCACGAGATTTTTTTTTTACTTTAGGGGATTTAATTCTCTTCAATTCATTTCAATTGTCTTCAATCCACTCTTCAAGCCCCACCAAATCTAAACAAAGTCTAAGGAGGTGTTTGGATCTTATGACTAAAAATTAGTTTTGAACTTTGGATGTCAAGCAAGAGGACTAATCATGAGCTACTGCTCATATATTTAGCTTATCACATCATAATAGGCTTTTTTTAAAAAAAAAGAAGAAGACAGTGGAGCAAAGCTCTCCAATATATTTAACTGCAGTATGAAATTCGCTCTCATAGATGTCAAACCTAAGATGTAAAGACTAGTACTAGAGCCACCTAACCAACTTAGCTAGAGCCACCTTTTTTTTTTTGGTTACCGGCATCAAACAACCTTCGGTTTGTAAAACCATGTACGGAGTACTCAGCGCCGGTCCTATGATTTTGAGGGCCCTCTGGTGAACTCGTCGCGACGGCCCCCTTTAGACCATAAAATTTTAGAATATATAGGCTAATTTTACTTGTATAGTGAAAGCAAATCCAATAATATATTTTTAATTTAATATGTCTGATAATTATCTAGAGCGAGAAACAACGTAGACTAAAAGAGCAATATATTTGTACTTCTAGAACTAATACGATTACCTTAAAAAAGAATAGAACTCCATCGTATCCACTGCTCACTTGCAACACCTTTAATTCTAAAAAAAATCATTGATCTCAACATCGGATGAGTTATCATGAGAAAATTTTTCACAAAAAAAGAGGAACAAAGATCGACTTCATCCAAGGATTTCAAATCGAGGTTGAACAAGAACCCAAAAACATTATCAAATCTTTGTCATCTACTCAAATCTACTAGTCAATGAAGCAATTGCGAACCAATGCATAGGCATGCTTGGTCATCTTGTTCATCAAAATATTTCGTTTCACGTTGACATTTTATAGGAAATATTGGCTCTATATCTAACGATGCAATGTTTTTTATGTATCCATACAGAAGTGCTATCTTTATACTTCTTAAAATATGAATGATACCTTAATGTGTTTGAGAGTAGCATCTATACCATTTGCAACTTCTTGCTAACCTTATATAGAGAATAGAATATCGTGCGATAACCAAACCAACTATAAATTCAAAATTCTTAAGTGCACTCACCAAAGATTGACATTCACTAAGCGCCATTGGGTCAATTTGAAGCCTTCTCTAACACTATTAAAGATGATCTTATTTTTGAGAGTTTGGAATATGAACACTTTTTTACTTTTAGTATTAGACCATGACTTTAAATCCTAGGACATTGTCAAAATTCTTTTAGTAGATTTTTTCGTCGGAAGCTTACTCAAGATTTCAAATGTCACAAATAGTAAGATCCCAAAAATCTGAAAACAATGTATAAATATAAAAGAAATAATAGTTTACACCGCAAGATTTTTCCATATCACAAAGAATAAGATTTATGACTGCACACGGCATATATAGTGCTCTTGGATTAATTTCAGCAAGCGCGATCCGAACACCTTAACTTTTCCTTCATATTTGAACCATTATCATACCCTTTGACCCCTCACATCATCAATATTCAAACAAAGAGAGGACTAATCTTTAATTGTAAAAAGACTCTCTCGATATGTCATCGACCTTCAAAACTCTAGGAAAAACTCCTCTACACTTAGAATATTCCCCGATATATTCACACACCTAATAATTAGAGTTTCTTCATGGCTCACATCTGGAGTACAATCTAAAAGAAGATGATCTTTAATATAGTTTGTTTTACACAAGCAAGAAGAGAAATCATCTCCAATTTTATGCCCAAGGTAATGATGATGAATCTCACTATTTTGAAATTGGTCTTGCATCACAAGATCAAATTCACCAATCAGGTGTTACCATTGTTAATATAGTTTCTCATTTTGCCCTTGGAAGATCTAAAGACTGATTCTTACTAAACTTGTCTCCAACGCTCTCTCTCTCCTTTGCAATTTCTCGTTGCAAATCATCATCAATTATTTTATTTTTTTTGCTCAAGCCATGGTTCATTTTTTTGTTATATGCTCAACACTATTCTCATGTTCCTTGAGTCAAACAAGATGTTTCGGTCCCTCAATCCAAAACCATTTTTGTTGTACGGAGTACTGTGTGTATAAACACATGTTTGTAAACCAACCATTTTCTATCAACCACTTCACCAGAATGAACAATTTTATTTATTTTTTCACTCTACCCTTATTATCAAGTCTCCCAAGTTCGGGATCAAAGACATCATGAATAGAAGGTTGCACATCATCAATTCACATATGAGAGGAAGGGCTATAGCATCAACTTGTTCACTTAAATTATCATTAACGCTTCATCTAAGCATGCACTACTTTGGCTTATCTACTGGTTGGACAAAGCTGTTCTTCTTGTCTTTTCCGTTTTCATTCACCGACAAATGTTTCCAGGTAACATTCTAAAATTCTTACACCTGACCCAAATTATAAGCACTATATGGCAAAGTACTAGACAAAAGACAGAGAACATCCTCCATTTCGACCATTCCTCCCAGCCATCGCATAGCAATAACCAAGTAGCTTGAGAGTAGACCCCCTGGTAGGCCTGCCGCTACACCGTACAGCACCACTCATCGCCTACTGTCACTGATCGTCGGTGGATCGTGATGAGTGATGATGACCCGACGCCTAGAACAGAAAGTCTACCGGTCTACCGACCGTGCACGACACCGCAGCTGCGCTGCGCACCCGACATTTATTTATTTCACTGGTCCATGTACGCGGCGCGTCGCACTGCGTTCTGAGGTCTCACACTCATTCACCTCGCCTGAACTGCACCGCACAACACGAGCGTCACTGCGGCGACCCTCGAGCCCGCGACAGTACCCAGCCAGCGTAGCAAAGCCAGTACCCCCCTGGGAGTACAGCACCACTCATCGCCTACTGTCACTGATCGTCGGTGGGTCGTGATGAGTGATGATGACCCGACGCCTAGAACAGAAAGTCTACCGGTCTACCGACCGTGCACACGCTGCGCCGAGCCGTACGCGGCGCGTCCTGCGTTCACGCCGCCCCACGCGACGCGAGTCAGCCGCGACAGTACCCCAAAAGGTAATAGCAGTAACGCCATGTCACGCCGCCCACGCACCGAGTCAGCACCGCTCTGCGTGCGTGGCGTTCTCCGTGAGCCGAGCCACGACCCGCTCCCGTCCCTGACCCGCCTGCGCGCGCGCCATGCAGAGGCAAGGCAAGACTGGCAGGACACAGGACGGCAGGAGCAGAAG